ATGATGATGATGATGATGATGATGATGATGATGATGATGATGATGATGATGATCCTTTAGACCGCAAAGCGTATAACACGTGTAATGTTTTCAACTTTACAACAAAACAAAATAAAAAATAGTGAAATAAAGCAAAAATCAGTTTGACATTCTGTCTATCACAAGACACACGGGTGCATTTCAAACAGCCAGGTAAATTTACTCTTACGCCTTGTAATTTGCACACAAGTGATGGGTCGCAAAAGGCCCGCCGAAAAAACAAATTGTTTCTGTGTGTTTACACAATCAAGTCCAGGTGGGAAAGGCCAGACAAGTTTGCCCTTTGCTTTCTTTACGTATTAGATAATGATGTCCAAAATTTAGCAAAGCCCATGCCCAAAGGGTTCGCACTGTACACGAAACCAAAGGCTCCTAAACAAAATACTAATAAGCACATTAATTAATGTTTTGCGTGGTATCTGTGACTGTTTGAAAATATTGTAATCAAATATGCATTTTTTATCGAAAAGACAAAGTTCTTAACTCATTTGTTAATGCACCCCAACTCACGCGCAAACACACTTTTACGTTTCTTTTCACCATCCACCCCCCCCCCCAACCCAAAACAAAAAAATATATACATAGAAATATTGCGAAGTCTCATGATTTTTAAAGGTCAACCTTGAGTATCCGTATCTCGGGCGGCTCTTTCCATAGATGTAATATTAAAGTGTCAGATGATGCAGAATTTATTTAGCGTTTTGGCACGCTGCATGAGAGGATGGTACAAGGCTTTAACTTGAACACAATACTCGGGCGAATACATTTTTGAATATTTTGAACGCCACTATGTTCTAACGTCATTTCGGTCCAGAAACGACTGACCAAGACCCCTGGATCATCAGTTCAGATGCGATAAAAACTAAAATGAGATCTAACATAAGGACACATTGAATACTCAGTTGTCTCACCTGTTTACTGACGAAAGAACTTGAGTCTGTATGCACGCTGCGGAAGGAACTAGAAAACGGTCTTGCGTGGTGGCGTTATATTGGCGTTCCTGTATCTGCTTGACTTTTATATCCTCGCAACCGATGAATAAGCAGGACACAGTTGGCGACATATGTGTGCGTGTGTGTGTGTGTGTGTGTGTGTGTGTGTGTCTGTCTGTCTGTCTGTCTGTCTGTCTGTGTGTCTGTCTGTGTGTTTGGGGGGGGGGGTGTGATGAGAGAATACCTCAACAAAAGATAAAGGATGATTAATTCAAATTACCATAAAAATAAAGACATACCGGTTACCAATTTTATTTGCATCGAGTCAGGTGGATTAAAGGCAGAATCAGTCAGTACAATTCTTCTAGCGCGGATCATTAACATATTTTCTGCTTCTGTCCTTGTTAAATGACACTTTGAAAAAAACCCGATAATTACAACATGTAATGCATCTCCAAAAAAATTTGTTTCAAAGATGTGAGTTTTCAGATACCAAAATGACAGATCTTTAATTTAGCATGAAAAGTTTCACACCAGTGTGAGTTTTTTATGCTGACTTTGTTCGTCAAAGGCTAACATTTCCAAAATGGCGGCTCCAAGCAAGTCTGTGAAAAGGTGAATGTACAAATGTAGGAAATTATCAAAATGTGTAGTTAAAACCTAATTCAACTTACAGATAAGTACCCCCTTAGTGAAAACAAGCATCAAGTCCAAGTACTTCGGTTGTTGTTTGTATTGACACACCTGCTTTTGAAACACCTATCCTTTTTAATTCAGGGGCGGTTTGTTCACTGGGCAAAACCGGCGGTGCCGGTCCGATTTTTGTCAACTGAACTGTTGACTAGAGGTTTATTGCTGGTGACGATGTTCATTCAGTTTTAAGTAAATCCAAACAAACATGTATCAACATTCAAAAACACCTTGCTGATTTGAAGGCGCTCAAATAGATAAGTGGGATTCACTGCTGTTTTGTCGCGACATAACCTCATTCCTTCAAGTTAGTTTTATCGCGCCGGCTCGTAACTTTAAATCGTCTCCCGTCAAGCCGTCACGTCGCGGAACTTCGTACTACGTACGAGGCCAAACACACGGCGGGCTTGGCT